TGGGTTTCGATTCCTGTGGTGGGCAGAGCACAGCTAGCCCATTGTGTAGCTTTGTGCTTAATTCCAAACAAACGTATGTGCTGAGAAAAACTTATTAAGAACAAAAATGTTTCTTTTTGTAATGAAATTTCACGTACAAAACAGGATTTCCTCCGTCGACTGATTGAAAGAAATATTTCAAAGATATGAGCATGAATGGATAAAAATGTGTTTGAGTATATATTTGTTGTTCGGTTTATATATATATTAACGTTGATAATATATAAATGCATGATTTTATTGCACCATGTCGAATAAATTTATTTATATTGAATATCTCCCTTTGACAATTCTTATAGAAATGATAACTGTCAAAAAGCGCTCACTTCGGTAGCGGTCTTTAATTACGCTCAGTAAAATAAGAAGGAACCGTGGCATCCAGCGGAAAAAAATCCCCACGGCTACTTAGCGAGCCTGAGTGCTTTATTGTACTGGATGAACCAATTGCACCTAAAGCCAAACATTTTTGCTAATAATGCATTGCAGTCAGTCACCTTTGCTTAAAAACAAACGTAGTGCATCCTTTCTTATTGAAACAACAAAAGGAATTACAAAAAACGGTTGTAAACGGTCCAGTAGACAATCATATTTGCATATATACTCTGATCCAAGGGATTGGATTGACTGTACATTTTGTATTTTCATCTCTGTTTTTAAGAAATTTATCGTTGAATTGTTTTAACGGGCATCTACTGGTTCTTTAATATTGCTAAGTGGGCTGGGCGTGGTCAACTTGTTCGTGTGCAGGGCTGCGTCTAGAAGATGTAAGACTATCATCCTCATGCCACTCAACACGCTCTGCAAATTCAGATGCGTCAGCGTTATAAGAGTGACAATCACTTCTGCTAGTTGGTTCTAAATCAGAGAGTCCTTTTGTGACGATAGGTACTGCTGACTGGCAGTCTTGTCTCTTTGGTCAATAGTTCAATGGTTTTAGCTGAATCATAGAGGTCTTTGACCTGGCAATTGAGCTCATGCGTAGCATAAGGTCCCATTAATGTTGAAAAAAAATCATATACATCAAATACCAAATATTTACTTAAGGTTTATGCGGAAGAACACTTATAGTTCGAGATAAAGATTTTTTTTTTTTTGAAGTGAATGAAAAATAGGCTGCTAAATTCGGTGTTCTTATTTATTTCAGGTGACTGCGTTGTTTCATCATACATTCAGAATCAGAGTGTTGTCATGTGTTACCATTTCCAGTGTTCTCCTGTAACTCAGTGTAGCTTCCAACCTTTCAACAGTGCAGAATCTGTAATGGTTTTAACAAAAAGTATTAAACATGGGCTTGGACAGAATGAATCTGTGGCAACTGCGTCAAGAAAACAAGTTGATTTGTATAGACATCTAGAAGGATCAGAAGGAGATGGGAAGTTTTCTAAACCCAGAAAAGGGGTTAATGGTAGCTTGTCGGAATCCAGTAAAACTTTTATTGAAGATTCTGTTGACTATCTTAGTCATATAAATTTCTTTAATAAAACGAAAAATTCTGTTCAGCCAAGGAAAGGAGTTTCCTTTTATCCAAAAAAAGACATTTCTCAGATTAACCAGATTGAAGACAAAGAGGCCAAAAATAACGTGAAAAACCACAATAACGTAGTAACCGTTAACATTAAGAATGATTCTGATGTTTTTAATTACCAAAATAAAATGAACCTTTTAGATGTTTTTGATGGAAAAAAGCAGCTTTTGTCGAACAACTTTACCACAAAAGAACTGGACCTGATGACGACACCGATGGAAAGTGACTTTCAGAATCATAAACAAAACGTGCTAGTTATGACAGCCAAAAAACTGGTTCCTGTTGAGAATATTACCGAGCACATTACGACAGAAGATCCGGTCTTGGAAACATCAGTGATTGCACATGTTATGCGAAATCCCACTTTCTCCAATGAATCACAAGCTAATTACACTAGCTCAGAAGAGTCTGATGACCTTGAGGAACCAAAAGTAAAACCTCCCCAGAACACAAAAGCGTCGTTTTCTGAGAATTACAAGACCCACTTAGGAAAGGAGCATATACAAACCACATCTCTTTATAAAAACGAACATATACAAGTCACACCTCCACATAAAAACGAACACGTTACTGGTATGATTCCAAATGAATATACTACAGTTGCAGGTCACAAAGCGCTCCCACTACAAGACCATAAAAAAGGAAAGAAAATTACAGGAAACTATTCATCAGATTCGTTAACAGACGGTAAAACGAATCAAACAGATGTATTCGAAACTATGGTGACAACATCGAATAATGAAGGCGAGCAACCGAAGATATTGTCAACTTTCTCTACAATTACTGTTTATAGAAACGGCATCATACCAAAATATACTGCGCGAGTTCATAACGTAGGTAAAAAGGTATTTTCTGATAAAGTTTATGCAGAATACACGCACGCTAAGAATAGTTCTGACTACCGTGCTTTCCCCTCCCAAGAACAATTGACTCCGCCTCTCTATATAAAGCACGCAAATATTGTTAATGCTTCTATTAAGCCATCTCCAACCCCTTTCACAGACAAATCTTCGTCCATTCCTGTGACGTCTCACAGCCCATCTCGTCCTGAAGACAAAATTGTCCCAGTCGGTAGAGTAGAACAGAACAAGGTCTCCACGACAGAACATTATTTAAGACACAAAAACCATACGTCCACGGCTCCTAGTAACTTTAAGGTGTCTCGAGATTCGGTCCTTCAAACGTACGATCCTTCTTCTGTTCATCTTATTATTGCTTTAGTATTAGGCTTGTTATTGCTGTTTACCGTACTAGGTTTAGTAGGTAAACGAATCTATGACACGTGGCAGCGACGTCATTACCACAGAATGGATTACCTGGTTGAGGACTTCTATAATAGCTAACTTAATACTTTTAGAACTTTGTGGAAGCGACAATTTTGGAAATTAAAAGTAAATTGAAAACAACCGCTTTTCTGAAGATATATACCCCCCCCCCCAAAAAAAAAAAGAGGTAACCTAAATAGTTATAATAACGATTATTTCTGTCAGAATCTTGAGATTTTGGAGAATTTGTGTAGCAGTTTTTTGAACTTTTTTAAAGAACGTTTTATTTTGCTTAATCCACGTGTGTTTATAGATATGTATTGAAATGCATAGATAAAATTTGTTCAAAGTCAACCGGGAAAAAGTAGAGCACCAGAAATAACTAGATAGTTCCCCCTCCCCCCCCCTCCAGCAATAGTGATTATCGTATGTTCCCTCTAATACTAGGCTTACTTTTGTATGGTTCTTTAAGATATAAAGAAAAATGTATTTGACCATTTTAAAATCTTCATATCCACAAGTATCATTGAAAAGTATCTCTACATCTCAATTACGCATTAAAGGAAGTTTTTTTTTCAAGGTGAAAGATTAGATTCCTATAAGATGGCGTTCGTACGACTTTACATATACCCGTTGTGAACAGAATTATATTGGTTTCACGGTATTCTCTCTAGCGCTTTGAATCAAAGAACGTGTCAAAACGAAGGAAGGAAATTATTCCTCTATTTGCATACACTTCAACAAGTGAAACGGGCCATTTTTCGATAAAGACTTCAGTATTCTCTGTTAGTTAGAACGTTGCGGATAAAACAGTCTATTTTTTACGAAGTTGGAACCAAGCCTAAATTACACCTTTTCGTTTTTTTTGTTCGTTCTAAGCACATTTCCAGAAGTTTGATGACGTTTGGAACTGAATGCTCTATCAGGAAGCGGGATATCTTTAGTAATAATACTAATAGCATCAGGCACGAACTCTCGTGAACAGGAATGCCACACCAAAGCTGGCAAGAACGTCTCCATTATAAACTTGTTTGTCTTTTAAAATCTCGACAAACTGTTCTTAGTGTCCTACATTCGTCGAAGGTGTGTAAGAAACGAACACTACATAGAGTGTAGATTGTACAATTAAGTTCCAGTATAACAGGTTAAGGTTATTTATTCTACACAAGCTTTCCAACAACTGTAGTGTATTTTTACATCAATTTTTTTCACTTTTCGTAGGTATTTCTTCATAATCTTGCCAATTAAGTTTTCAAAGAAACTGTTCTTGTTGAGATATTTCTTGATTTTATCAAGTTCTATGAACTAACATAAAAATTTAATTATTAATTGAAAACAGAAGGCATCAAACTTCTGTACTTAAAATATAAGCCTGAAAAAGTTGGTTTATGATAATAGGACACCGATAACTTTGTCTCGTGGTTTAAAATTTTAAGATCTAAAAATGGTAATGCATAGTACTTTTCTTCTACAGTAAAGTTAATATTTTAATGTCTCTCATTTAAATATAATAAAAACTTCCGAACATGACATTTATTTTTCAAGAACACAAGAGTATCATCAGCATACATTTTAAATATAATAGGCTTAAAATCATCAGGATACTACTGTAACCATAATGTCTTACGGTAACAGAGAAAAGTGTTAGTTAAGTAAAGAAGTAACTTAGACCCCATTGCTATACCATCTATTTGTTCATAAAAAAATTTCCTTGAAAATAAAAATGTGATTCCTCTGTTGTAAAATGGATCAGTTTAAGAAAGACGCATTTAGTGAAACCATTTACAACTTGAGAATTTTCAAATATCAAGTTATAACATACACCAGTTATTTCTTTTAAAGAGATATTCATGTATAACGATTCTATATCAAAACAGCACTGTATACAGGTGCAAAGAAATTGAGATTTCTGATAAACTTGGACAAGTCAAAACTAACTGAATATTAATTAGTGGTGAATGGTTTTATAAAATCAACCGAAAAAAACTTGCGAGTTTATGATTATACGTTCCAAGTTACATACGATGGGTCAAATGGTACAATCTGTTTTATGAATCTTAAGTAATCTACAAAGAATACCACGTTGTGCATCTATTGGTTTAATTAATGTTATTTTAAACCTTCTCAGAAATGACACCACTTAGTTTAAACATATGTCTTTGTAATTTACCCTTTCTTCTCAGAGTAAGGTCAGAGATCAGTTTTTCAATCCTCGTAATGTCTAACAGAATCTCATTGACTTTATCCACATACAAAGCTTTATCCAAAATAACAATTCCATTGAATTTATCAGGTTTTAAAATACCTAGTGTTTGAGAAAATTTAAATGCTTCAGATCAACAAGTTCCCAGTAGATAAACGATATTGAGAATCATCCATTCCGCAAGGTTGATAAGCTTTCAAGGCCAAACCTGAAATCTCAAATAACCTACTCTTACATACATAAAAATTTTTTTAACAGTTGTAAAAAAAAAGTTTCAAAAGGAGCAAATAAATTTGCAATATACCATTTAAAGCTACTGACAGAAAAACCCAAACCTAGAAGTGAAACTTTCTTCTGATCAGCGATTAGAGAGAATTTCTTTTAAACATTCCATTGCATGTTCACTACCCCATTCTAAGCTTTACCTTCGTTACGTTGATGACATTTTTGTCTTATGAAAACAAGGCAAAGTTTGAATTGATTTCTCTAACATTTAAATATTCATCAAGCATATATACAAGCCATATTAGAAGTGCAGACAAGTAACACTTTTTATGGATGTTCTGATTATGAAAAGTACCGATGACCACAAAGTAATAACTTCTGAATATCAAAAACAACCTCTACAAATATATATGCAAATGTCAAATCAAGCAATCCTATATTGGTAAATTATAGCGTCGTTAAAACTATTACCCAGAGCGAGGATAATACACAGTAACGAAAGCATAGAAACTGAGCTTAAACAACTTCTACAGATTTTTATTGACAATAATTCCCCCTCCCCCCAAAAAAGACCATCATTGATGAACTCTCCGAATACGAAAACATCCATTCTTCATGAAGATAAACACGAATGGCTATACATATTTCCCAGAACTTGGAGTAAAAAGAAATAATGAATACCTTTAACATTCAAAAAGTTCTCAAGAGCCAACCTACCTCACACAACATTCGAATCCTTAACTAAAACAAAAGAACATTAAGATATAACATCACGCACGTACGTGGGGGGGGGGGGGGTCGGACACTAAGCTCATGTTCATGTGAACGTTCGGCATCTGTTCTCCTCCGATTGAATTAATTACCTGAGGTGTACACAAACCGAAGAAATCCTTGAGTGCTCTAGCTTTAATACATAATCATTATGACACTGCTATCAACATAGAAACTGTACATACGTTATTTATGGAAAAGTACTTCAGAAGAATAGAACATGCTAACATGTTATTTCAGTAGTGCATACGTGTCCGTATATGATAGCCAATGGTTGAAATATCTAATATACTATTGTTATACAGAGTTGTTTAAATTAGTAACATAATTTAACAATTAATAACTACTCTGCATGTAGATAGTACAATACGCTACTATAATAAAACGTACATATTTATGCAAATTTAAGTCTAGCTCCCATGCAGTGTTACAACAGAATGATGATTTGTTGACTTTTCATTGGATGTTTGTGGGTTTCATGTTAACAGCCATGCAATTGTTGAATTTATATTTCATGCAAAATTGCTTCCAGATTTAATCTCATAGCACTTATTCTTTATAAATGTTCTGGGGGGTATGCCCCCAGATCCTCGTAGCATTAGCATGCTGCGCATAACATGTGTTGGCTTTTGATCTCACAAATTAGAATCCTCCTTTTAAACATTCTACCTTACAGGCCTGAACATATCACGTGAATGAAGAAAACATCGGAGAAGTCAAATGTCCTGTCAACAGTAGAAAGAAAGAACGTCAAAAAAGACAGTACATGTCCTCCAACTATTGCATTACACGTCCAAAAGAACAACACAACTTTGACCTTGACAATATAAAAAAAAGAACTGACAAGGACTGTGATACCAATAAAAGAACCTACTGTAACAGTAGTTCATGAGCTTGATCTTCCAAAAGGTATTAACAAAAACAGTGGTTTCCATTTACACACTTGCTGGTTACTTTCCAACACAGAAATCAAACTATTCATTGAGTTTTAATATTCTGTGAAGAACTTAAATTAGTAATTTTCTCTATCTTACTATTTTTCATTTTTATTTTTTAGCCTTACCGGTGTTGTTGTTTGTAATTAAGCACAAAGCTACACAATGGGCTATCTGTGCTCTGCCCACCACATGTATCGAAACCCGTTGTAAGTCCGCAGACATACCGCTGTGCCACTGGGGGGCTAGCCTTACCGCTAACAAGTAATATAATAATTTGTTTATTTTAATTATTATTATTTACTATTTATATTTAACGTTCAAATAAGTTTATTTGTTTTAACACTTTAGTGGGTACATCTTTTTTATTGTTGCTAGGTGTCTCGTATGTAGATCTATTCCTTTAGTTGCTTTTATGAACTGAACATCCTACTTCTGTCGAAGATTCAGGGAATGGAGCCGAAAATTTGTGTTGTGAAATAAAAATAAAGCACGTACATTGTTCAATTAAGTTCCAGAATAATTAATTAATAATTGCGTGACGAGTTTAAAATATTATTAACCTTAATCTATGGCTAGAAGTTAAGCAAAGTAAAGAAAATTAACTATTCTTTGTTTCAAAGCTTTATAGGAAATTTAATTAGACTTAAGTATATCAAAACAAACGACAATGTTGTTGTGTTTTTCTTTAATGTCAGAATAGTTTGCTGTTTTTCTTCAAATGTATTTTAATTTGGACCCTAAGAAGAGTTGATTCGTTTAAGTCCTTAACTGGAACTTATTTCTGATGCTTATTGGTCTGAAGTTTGTTTTATGTCTGAGCATAATCTTGTTAACTCTTGTGAAACATGGTCATAAGTATTATAATAAAAAAAGTTTATTTTAAATTTCCTTTTGCAATCAGGGGAAGAAATTATAGCTAGAACTTTCCATATCATAGACGCCATCTTCGGAATTTGTGGCATTATGGGCTTGAAAACTTAGTTCACTTTTGTGTTTTCCTCAACATATCCTTATCACACTCATCTAAATGTGTTCACAAGGAACAAAACAATTAATGTTCTTGTACATAATACGATTGCAACATATTTTATCAAACTTTTCAGAGAGCTAATGTTATATATTTTCTTTTCCAGTTTTTAAACTATTACACACTATTGTTGTTGTAGGGTGCATTCTGACGAGTTTGAGATTGATTGGGGTGGTCTCTATAGGATTTCCAGCTATTTGCTGACCATAGAAGATCTTTCTTCGGCCC